ATATATATATAATATATTATAATAATATAATATATATATAATATATTATAATAATAAATTATAATATAATATAATATATATATTAAATTTCATTCTGAATTATATATATGATATAATTTATATAATTATGTAATATAATATACTTGACTATAATTTAATACGATTCAATATTAATTGCAGTGGACTCGACAGCGTGACCTCAAAATATTGTATAACATTGTTAAAGCAATTGGCAAAGTCGGGGCAAACAGTGGTTTGTTCCATTCATCAGCCGAGCGCTTCGCTCTTGAACATGATCGATCACCTTTACGTGGTGGCAGACGGGAATTGTGTGTACAGCGGTAGCACGCAGAATTTAGTGCCTTATTTGAGCAGTCTCGGTTTGCAATGTCCAACGCATTACAATCCAGCAGACTATCGTAAGTAAATGCTCGTAAGTAAATGGAAATTGGACATACTTGAACATCGTACCATTTCCTTAATCGTGTAGTCAATGTACGTTGTATCCTGTCCCCATAGTAGTGATCTCTGTGAATAAAAAGTCATTAAGAGGGATAATCACGTGCACGTTCCAAGCGACGAAAAAGTAGTATTACTCTGTTATACTGCAAACATTGCAAACATCACTCACACGTCATTTGTCAATTAGCACTAATATATTAACGTTTATTCAAATCAATTAAAAAAAAGAAAACCGGTCAAATTAAAATATGTTCAAGAGAAGATTTCTCTTTTTATAGTGATGGAAATCTGTAATGGAGATTACGGCAAATACTTGCCGGAGATGGTGAGTGCCATCGAGAATGGCAAAAATAATGCATGGAGGTCAACCAGTAATGTAACTAACGTCAATCATCAAGAGGAAGTGATCGCTTTGAATGTGACAGCTTCGTTCCAAGCACTTCGGCAACGATCTCCGTTGGAAATACAGCACGTTCGCAGTAGGCACAAAGGATCTGCCGAATATGCCACTGGTTTTTGGAAACAACTAGTCATTTTGCTTAAAAGAAATGCTATTAGACTCTCCAGAGATAAGGTAATAAATAGTTCGCTTTTAGAATGGATTCATCCGTAATGTTACATGTTATTTAACATATTTTCTTTTCAATAAAGTACTTTTTTTTTTTTCTTCTATCATGAAAGTATGACTTGAAGGTACTGAAACAAAATTCAACATTCTTGGGCCTAATTAATTAGTACTAATGTAAATGCTGTGATAAATATAATCGTATTTATTATTATTTACAAAATATGGTGAAAAAAAGCAGATTTGTAAAATTACTTACTATTTGGAAGACGAGGCTATGTTATATTATTAATAGATTTATTTGCTTCTATTGGTTTTCTCCATTTATTATATTTGTAATACAAGCTGAGTCATATACGAATAAGAATAGATACACGACTAGCCGGTGACAACTTCATACATATGATACGGAAATGTGCAATAATAATAAAATCAGTCTCGTGTGTGAGATCATAGACTACCGAGATGACGTCTATTAGATGATAAGATCTGTAAAAGGATCCTTTGTAATGTTATTTTTCTTGTGTCTTGCATTGTATAAGTTAAATTTGATTGGAGTGTTAAATTGTTAAATTAAATTTTAAAATTATTACCGCCAAAATATTAAAAAATTTCTGAAATAAAATGAATAGGTAAAATGTTTTCTGAACACTTGGAAAGCTTATAATCAATAACATCGGTTGAAACCGCAGAAATAATTGACCTTGGTTAAGGTATGATATTTCAGATACTTGCTAGACAGCATGTATAACGGACGTTATTATAACAAAATGAAGAAAAATTCTAGACAAGTATTAAAACTTTCAAATACTTGTCACATTTTTTCTTTCTTTCAGCAAAATAAGGAAATTTTTAAGATTTTCCTGGTTTTTTGCAGGTATTAACATTTACACGACTCTCGATGCATTTTATAATTGCCATAGTCGTTGGCATGATCTACTTCAAAGTCGGCCAGGATGCTGTCTACGTACTGGACAACTTTAATCTTCTCTTTTTCAACATCATGTTTCTTATGTTTAGTGCCTTCAGCGCCACAGTAACTACATGTAAGCTAACATAACATAACATCTCAACCTGTTCCTCTTCATGTTGTTTCTATTAGTTAATAAATAAGTTAATCAAACGATTGATATAACTGTTTGCTATATTACAGTTCCCTCGGAGTTGCCGATCATCATGCGGGAACATTTCAATCGCTGGTACAAGTTACACTCTTTTTACTTGGCTAACAAAATAGCCGACTTTCCTATTCAATTCATAGCCATTTGCTTGTACATTCTCATCGTGTATTATATGAGTGATCAACTGCTAGAACTTCAACGATTTTGTCTTTACACGCTGATGTGTTTTGCCGTTAGTATGGTTGCTCAAACGTTTGGCCTCTTAATTGGAACAGGAATGAAAGTACAGGTTTGTGTGGAGATTTTCATTTATGAAAAAGTGCTTGCAACATGCTGCATTCTTATTTTATTGTACGTTTCAGCATGGCATGATCTTTGGACCACTCACGATTCTTCCGTTTTTGATATTTAGTGGATTCTTTGTTCAATTCAGAGATGCTCATCCGTACTTGCGATGGTTATTCCATTTATCATTTCTCAAATATGGTTTCGAGGGTGTAATGATCGCTATTTATGGGTAAAATAGTCTTCAGTATAATATCTTCGTATAAAATGTAAAATTCGCTCCTTAATATAATGTTATTTTGCAATTTCAGATATGACAGACCAAAGCTTTTTTGTTCAGATGTTTATTGCCACTTTGCTATACCAGAGACACTGTTAAATGCTGTAGACATGAAACAGGCTAATTATTGGTTCTGTTTGATTGTATTGGCCGCGTTGTACGTCATGCTGGATATTGGAACATTCACATTATTAAAATACAAATTAGAAAAACGCATATGAAAAAGAAAAGATCGAAAATCTAAATGAATTTTGGTAAAATATTTTCTACGATCGTGCTGTGTTCAGTGTAAATAGAACGATACAAATGAATTATTGTATTAAAGACTGATTTGTTTTTAAAACTTCTGTGTAAAAAAAGAGTGAAAAAAAATTATAAAACGTGATTACTGAAGAAAGGCGAAATTATATTTGCATTTAATTGTTATTACAGAAAAAAAAGCGACGGATGAAGTTATTTGTATAGTACGATGTTGTACAAACGATTTATATCAAAGTAGAAATATAAATCCTGTTATCTTGAGATAGTAAGCGATAGGGATCGATATTCTTTTGATTCTATATTTCATTTCGAATGATAACAAATTTTTTGTACAAATTATGTTCGTGTAGAACATATTGAAGTATAATTAAATATATTGTTTGTACATTCCACGTCTATATTTCTAATCAATGATGTATACGCTTACATTTTTACAAATTAATGGTATTAACAGCTGTTTCATGTATTTAGTCAGTTTGTATAAAAAGAAAAAGAAAAACAAAAATATGTTCGTTTATTTTCAATTTGTTTGTAACTTGTTATTTGACTTCCAAGAGTCTAAGAAACGACATTTCATTCGACAAAAAAGATTTTAAAAGAGCCATTTGAAAATTATTGAAATAATCTTTTCGATTACTCGATTCAACGTAACAATACTCACGTACCTGATAAATTTTGCGAATTATAACAAGTTATTCAAAACTGACAATCTCTTTTTTTATTCTAGATAATCAAAATATATAACGATGCAATATTAATATATAAAGTATAGAATATTAATAATAATTAATGGGGAAAAACAAACTAGAAAGAAACGACGAAGAAAATATAAAAAGTAATCAATTTACAGAAATGATCGTAGTTAAATTTTCAATGTTTTAAATGAAGCTACGAGCGTACATAGCAACGTACGAACTCGAATGCAAGGTCAAATGCGGTTAAACACAGTTTCCTCCAGCGAGAAAGTTGTACAGCCCTGCCCTCTGAAAACATTCAACAGTCGTCACGTTATCATGAATTCACGAGCATCGCTACAACTGTTGCGTTCGTCATTGAATAAAACGCGCCATCGAATGATGCTTGATGTGAATCTCATAAAATTCGTTTTTTTTTTTTCATTGACAGTTACTATTAATTTGCTTCGTTAATCACTTTAAATTCTTTTCTTTGTCATATTATGTGAAACGTGAAAAATCATTGTGTTCAATGAATCTGATTGTGAGAATAACGCAATAACAAGTAAAATAACAATAGTAAAATAACGCAATAACAAGTAAAATTTTACATATAAGAAGACGCATCGTTTTTTGATTTCTCAAAAGTGCGAGCATACCTTCTTTACTTTTAATAGTTTATCATGTATTAATTGCAGTATTTCTCTCGTAAAATACAGAGTACTTTAAATGATTACATTTTTTGTCTCTATATTTTTTGCCTCGTAAACAACAATTCGTAATCGTTGTTTGTGATTAGCGTTGCATGTACGACGATAACAGATGATGACAGTGGGATTTCATCGCAGATTAAACTCCAGTAGTTTATTTCGATCATTACTTTAAATGCAGTCGTCGAATATAGAAACGTAGGAAATGGGAGAATATCTCAGTGATGCAATCGGTCTATCAGCAAGAATGATCGAGGAAAAAGAACGCGCCGTTCAACTGACAATGGGAGAAGACGAAAAATTTTTGAATTCAGATGCTCGGTCGGTTGACAAGATGTACATAGAGTTCGACAACCTCTCGTATTCCGTGTGCTCCAGCAAAGGCAAGTATGCCAAATTAGTAGTAAGAGGAATAAAACTAAGATCGTAGATCAGAACATAGCTCTTCCAACATCGTAAGTTCATCTTGCGAATTGTTAAAGACTGTAGGAATTTGGCAAGTTGTAAAAATTATTTGTGAATCGCGTTATAAAATTGTAAAGTGAGTTTAGAGCTGAGGTGTCAAAAGGTGATTTACGTAAGAATTGTTAAATTCCTAGTTACATAAAAAGAAAGAAATTTACCATTTTAATTAGAGAATAAATTGTTGCTCCTATTGTTTCCTTTCGCAAATGTATAAAATTACAATAACATTAAAAAAAAAAAAAAA